CTTGTCCCCTGACGTAAACCAGGCGGTCATTTACTTGGAGCAGGTGTCAGAGAGAATCTTGGTCGGTCGTGTGAATGTTAAGCAAGCAAGCCATGCTAAATGTCACTGTCGCCTGTGTTCTGGTAAATATGTCGAGTTACAGCGACGAACTTGCTTTCTATGACGCGCATAGACGTTTCGATTATCACAGCCGATCTCAGCGTGAAAGTGGTTACCGAGTACAGTACATGGCCAGGTGTATTTGGCCTTCACGGTATTGATACCGCGAATTACAACACATGAGTCTGTTAAGCATTTGTGCCACAAGCAGATTAAAACGTCGGCGGGACCTTTTCTCCTCATACGCGTATGCCCTTGAATGTTCCTCAGTGTGAACCTAAATACTCAGTTGGACCGCATTCACATCAACCGCAAATGGCGCGTCAGTCGTGACTGTATTGGGTCTGATCACTGTGTAGTGGTGCTTCGTCTAAAATTAGCCGTGTTGCATCGACGTCGTTTGATTGAAACGCATCGGCTGCTCGATGTTGATATGCTAAAGTATGAAGAAGCGTGTTCAACCTGCCAAAAGGAGGTAGAAAGTTATTTGAAAGTTATTCTTAGTGTCCAATCAGAAAGTAATAGCGTGGATAAAGCCTACAAACACTTCATCGAAGGCAGCGTTTTCTCGTCGAAAAACGTTGCATGGGCTCGGAGGATGATGGCCAAACTGCCCCGCGGTACGAAGAATATCTCAGCCCTTAGAGTGCGATGGAATCAGGTAAAGAAGGAGTATTTGCAGTTCCCTACTGCATCCTCGAATACAGCTCATCGCCAACTCTGGTTGTGCAATGTTCAGAGTTGCAGGCTAAACAGGGATCTTTGACTGAAGAGAAAGATCAAGAAGATCGACAATGCAGTCAGAAAGCTAGAGTGGCAAACAGTGTTCAAGAGGGTGGCACAGCTGTCTGGTAAGCATGGTCTATCCTTATCCAATGCGCTCAGGTTGTCCCATGCTCATATGAGAAGGAACGGCTTAGTGGATGGGCTGAGCGTTTCCAGCAGCTGCACAATGGCTGCCCTCTAGATTCGTCATTTCCAACCGTTAATTCTCTGCCAACACTGGAAGTTAATGCAGATCCATCTACGATATTATTAAAAGAACTTGCTGCACCTGAAGGTTTGTGGTGAATCGAATTCATCCAGAGTTAATTAACGCAGGAGCGGAAATGGTAAAAAAGCTCTGTTTCATCATGGATGTTTCCCTGGAGAATAGAAGTGTGAAGTGATTGCCGCTATTATTAAAAGCTATCGGATTACCTAGTGTTCCAGTTATCGTGTATCCAGTCTTCCAGTTATTGTTCCCTTCACGCTTCTGTAAACTTTTGATTGTCATTTCTATCAACTCCCATCACGCAACGTCAACTTTTCTCTTGGAGTGTTCTTAAAAGGCAGGGTCAAACAGTTGATTTGAGACTTCGCCAGAATTATCAGGCTTCCGGATGAAGGCCTCCTGTACATGGGATCATTGAGCAATGTTTAAGATTCCAGTTGCATTTGTTTGCCAGTTTCCTCGATTTTAAGGTTGTATTTAGTTCAGTAAATCGTCCAACGATGTGCCGAATCTTGTAATACAATTTTATACCAGAGCAACGCGTTTACGTTTTGGAAGAGATGTATGCAGGAACCATGTTTGCTGTCAAAGTTGAAGGAGAAATATCTGGGTTTGTTATTAAGTGTGGAGTTTGCAACGGTATGTGCTTCTGCCTTTGCTATTCAACGTTGTTCTCGAATTTTTTCTCTGAAACAGTGTTGACCCTTGCAAAGGCGAGGGTCTCTCGTTGTAAAGGGAAGGCTCAGTTCAAGATATCCAACTAGATATCTCGCTGATCTAGATGCACAGATGATGTTGTCTTGATAATTAGTATGGAAAAGCGGGCTGTGTCATCTGACGGCTTTCATATACATTACAGCTGCGAAAAACGGCCAGATGTATTCTCGCCCGGAAGTCTCAAATTATGAGGAACCCGTTCAGCTCAGC